CTTTAGTTAACACCCGTAACACAAATTCCACTATTTGTAGTGTAAGAACACGTTATTTTTTCGAACTGACGATTACTGCTGGTAGTTTCGAGGCTATCAGCTGAAAAAATTAGGGAAAAAAGTGGCGCCTAAAAATGATCGAAGCCCAGGTAAAAATGGTTCCACAATATTTATTAGAATTGAAGAGTATAATTTCAGTTTGCTTATGGAAATTATATATGCGCGTTGAGAAGTACATCGCAAGATGCAGCGAGCAATGCAAAGAACTTAGAACGCTCTACAACTTCCTAGAACTTGACTGCACTTTGAAGCAACAGTTACACGCGGGATGAATACTGAAGAAATTTTCTATTACGGATGATATTCAAAGCACATATGAAGCATTAATAAGTTATGAACAGCCATGCACGGAGCTGGCATTCAAAGATTAGTCTAAAATGTTTTCTTATTAACTTAGTTACACTTGGTGCGCCAATTGCAACTAGTTTGAAGATAATTACGCGAATGCCGTCACCTCGATCTTTAGTGAGTAAATGCTGAAAATTAGGAGAGTCGTTAATTAAAAGAACGCCTTTGACACTCCTCATCTTGTAAACGTAGCTTCCATTACCAACTGGTATCAGTTTTAGTTCAAAGACACACTAAAAATGTGGATTTATTACAAATAAGAAATATGTTGTGATCTCCATGCATTCTATTAGAACCTAGGAGTGAAACAGTAATTAGTTCACTCTACCACATTAGAGTTTATTAACATCTATATCACCTCCGAATTCTTTTGGAAATGACGGACCGGCAATGCAGTATAGTCCACGCTGGAATTTATCACCAAGCCACCATAAACCCAACTTTCCGGCATTTCCCAGCCACCGACGGCAGTTAGTGCGCCGGCCATAAGCCGGCCGTGATTCCCGACACGGTGGCCAGGCAGTCTGGACGACTCGACAAGCTTGAAGGTCGACGGGCGCTTTACCGCCCGCCACTTTGTCGAGCGGTCGGCGAGGCCGAGTTGCTGGCAACTGCAGTGCGATGAGCACAGCCGACGAAAATTTTATTTGGAATCCACGTCCAAATAAAATAAAATTGGACTCCACATTTTCGTGACTTCACGGAGCTAATATCACTAGACTGCATCTCATAATTAACACGGAGCTAATATCACTAGACTGCATCTCATAACTAACACGGAGCTAATATCACTAGACTGCATCTCATAACTAACACGGAGCTAATATCACTAGACTGCATCTCATAACTAACACGGAGCTAATATCACTAGACTGCATCTCATAACTAACACGGAGCTAATATTAGACGGCATCTCATAACTAACACGGAGCTAATATCATCAGACCCAGTCTCAAGACTCACACGGGTGCCAGGCAGACAGCGTCTCACGTATCGCAAGATTGTCACGAAGACTGAGCCTCATGAGCCTGCACCTGATTCCTGTCATGGAGTACACATTATGCGAGTCGAATGCTGTCTGTACCACACATACTGCGTGAAATGCGGTCCGGACCTCATATGGACGAGTGACATTTGAATTAATGTAGATACTTTTAGTAGAATCTACTAGCAGGTCGCGACTGGCATGCTGTCTCGGATGAATGATTGAGATGAGGTATCTATAGCGTCGGTAAAGGCTTTTTAAAGAACCGTTCAAAGTTTTCCGTCCGATTACGACGTAGATTGCGCGAATTTCCTCAAATACTTGGTAGCTGTCATTTTCGTGACGTTACAGACCGAGTGTGAGTAATATGTGTACAGAAATAGCCTTATTAAATAGAAGACGCCAATTGAATGAGAGCTAAAGATACTAAGATTTAAAAGGAGCCAGTCAAGAAGAATACTAAAAATGCTCGAAAAAAAACTTTGGGAGAAATAAACCAAAATTGGAAGGAGGAAGCGCCCAGGTAAGGAAGGTGACCCACGACGTAACCGGAACTTCCGCCCAGCCAGGCAATCAGGATCTTCCAAGTCTCGCTTCCTCAAACCACTGCACCCAGTTGATATCAATTGCATTAATTCATTTGAAATTAGGCATACGCTAAATCCAATGGTGCATGGGCTTAATGACTCTCATTGGGAAAATTTTAAATTAGGGGGACATTTTCTTATTGTTATATTGCAATTAACCTATTAGTTGTAAACCTTGATTTTGAATATCGATAAATTTGCGATGAAGATTTATTGGAGTTGGTTAGTTGGTATGACTTCACAAAGTCTATAAGGAAAATTAAACAATGACACTATATATTATACGTCGGCTTTACCATATTGAATTGCAAAAATACGAATGCCACCAGAATGTAAAAAGCCGGATCGCCCTCCGCCCCTTTTGAAAAAAAAAAAATACTTAGAAAGTCACGTCAGTAATTCACGGAAATTAGGGAACCGCACGCAGTCGGACATGAAAGTTGAGGAGCTCATGTGTGGTCTGAACCATGCAATGTGCAATAGACCCTGTGTCAGGTCTGACCGCAGCAGAGGTGTTGGGTCTGATGGTCCAAAGCAGAGGTGTTGGTCTGATGGACAGCTTATGGATCTCACTTGAAAACCCGAATCGTCATTGATGATTGCTTTTTGTTCGGATTTGAAGATCAGATCAGTTAGTCCATTGCAATAGGATTGGTTATGGTAGATCACATGATAGCGATCCATCATATATGAGAGATGGATCATTTATGATGGATTGCACAGCTTCGGCGCAGTAAGACAGCTTTGGTAACATGAAATCTTTTATAAAATTATTCTATTTCGTTATCACTGTAGAAGCACGCCAAGAACTCGACGATAAAGAGTATAATTAATGTCAAATTCGCAATCCATCATCTTCCAAACGATTAAAAATCAAATTCGCAGCAAAGCAACGTTAATTGTCTGAAACCAACTTTCCATATATAACTTAAGGCAAGGAATCATTGGACGCATTACACAAAAAGCAATAAATTCATACACAAAATATCAAATTGACACGAGTCAGAGACCGGCATCGGAACGGCTGAACGACGCACGTCAAACGATCGGTAAAAATAGCAACTCCGTGCGTGCTGTACGAAACCACTGCTTTTGCACTGACCGACTTTCCCCTTTATTTTAATTAGACCATCCATTCAAAAAATGCTGCACATTCCAGATGCATTTCTCGTACTATAGGAATTTACGCGGAACTTTGATTTATTTATGAAACACCAAATAGAAACCGCTGGGCAATTTTCTATACATCACTTCGATTGATTTAAGCATGAAAATAATGAGTGTGCACAAATGGCCGGATACCACCAAGAAAAAATATTAAATCAGCGTCAACAGCATAATTAATTAAAATTCGGACTCTGCGTTAAGGACTATTCAATAATAAATCCCATATGATGGATTCAAACATGTGCATCAACGTGATGAGAATAACTTTGTAAAGTGCAAGGCTCACGTCAATGGCAAAATCAGCACGCACCAATGCTACGTGACGTACAAAAAAAAAGAAGAAAAAGCTTCTCATCAAAAACGACACGAAGTCCAAACACTTAGCCACTTTCCCGACAAGTCCAGCCCGAACTTCCTTCCTCGGCCTTGTTTAACTACACGCCCAGGCCGCCTACTCATAGAAACTTAACGCTCGTGATCACGCGCGGCTGAATATTTTAACTAAAGTTAAATAGATGGGTTAATTCTTTTTGATAATAATTTTGAGTTCTAAAGCCAGACATGACTTTGAATGTCCTGAATTTTCTAGAGTTAATCTCATCATCATAAGGTGGAATCGAATGTCGGTTATTTTTCGTAGTCTGAAAATATTGATAATAAGTAATCTTAGCGCAAGAACACTTATCTCGATTATTGGCAACTTCAGGGTGGGTTTCAAGAAGTACAGTGTTGCTCAAAATTTAAGTACTTTGCTAGACATGCACAGAGTATCGGCGACTGATTTGATATGGGTGATTGCGAAGTACTGACCGTACTTGATAAATTCCTTAACTGAGATTTACTCATTCAAAAATATACAGCTAGGGCACCAATTTGACAGATCACTCCTCAAGCTGCGTTGAAGTCTCCTAGCACCCTAACCGAACTTGAGTTGACATTACCCTGATTGCTGCATTAGTGCAACAGAAACTCAGAGGACAAATAAATTTAATTCCTATGCAATTTGGCTTGTTAGTTAAAGTTTTGAAATACTAGCGAGGTTTAGATATGTCTGAAGTCAATAGTGCGACTTGTAATAATCTAAACAATCCAGTATAATTCGAAAATGCATTCAATAAACAAACTTTGTTGTCAAGTACAATTATAGAGAACAAACTTTTGGCTTTTAAAGCTGATGAACATCAGATACATGTTCATACATCACAGGCATTAATATTGCATATGACGTAAATAAAATACGAAATGCTGTCACTAACATGAAAGTATCTGAAATGCGTCGTTAAACAGGCGACTGTTCAGGAAAGTGTCAGAGACCAGCTAAATCACAAGTTCAAAAAATTTAGAGAATAAGAACATAATAGCGAATGTTACATGATTTTGAAGCAACATCATAGATCAGGACGGTCGTTGGCAACGGTCAGTGCAACGTACGGGGAGGCTGACTTATAGACGAGACTTGCCTGCTAATCCCTCCTGTTTATATCGGCGCCTGAAGTCTGACTGCTGGCCCTTCATATATACAAGATTTTTAACGCCTTCATCATCATGAGATATTCTTCGTAATAATAACATAATTACAGCAAATTTTCATCAGCCTAACATGAATACCTCGGAAAAATAGCCTTCTGTTATGGTAAATTTTACACTTGTTTTGAAAAATTTTCTGATGAGAAATTATTTGAATGATGAAAACGCCATAAAAAAAAACGCGCCGTCAGCACACTCACCGAGACGGTTGACGTCGGGTAGGGTGCTGTCTGCACACTCACCGAGACGGTTGACGTCGGGCAGGGTGCTGTCTGCACACTCACCGAGACGGTTGACGTCGGGCAGGGTGCTGTCTGCACACTCACCGAGACGGTTGACGTCGGGCAGGGTGCTGTCAGCACACTCACCGAGACGGTTGACGTCGGNCGCAACAGCTCTGCAGACGCAACAGCTCTGCAGACGCAACAGCTCTGCAGACGCAACAGCTCTGCGTCATCCTGAAGGTCACACGCCGTGCATTTGCCACGCACGCCGAGGTGTCAGCTATTCGAAGAAGGCTGAGGAAAGTAGAGACAGTTGGGGTGGAACGGGAACTGGGGAGTAAAGAACAGGGTCCTAAAAGGAAAAATTAGAAATGCATGAGATGAGAATGAAAAACCATGATCTGAAGAAGGATAAACTAGCATGATAGGAAAACTGAACGAAGGAAAATGTTCTGCATTTCCGACTTAAAACAGAAAGAAAGAAACTCTAAAGCGATAAGTGAGCACATAGAAAAGAGATACATTATGAATTGAAGCCGGAAGTGAAATGTTATCAAATTAGTTTATTATAGAGAACAATAAACACTCCACTTCGAATGAAGGCATATCTGACATCATAATACCAATCATGTTAAGCCACTAGCTGTAATGCTAATAAACTGACTGCATGACGAGTGTATTATATCCAACAGGGCGAAGAAGTGTTGGCCATTATGAGACCAAAGCAATAAAAAATTTGGCGACCTAATGTTATTATTTGCGGAAAATGTACACGTCCCGATGAAGCTCTTATACGTCATCAAATTTGTGAAATAATTTTTTCATCATTTCGTCGTTCAAAAATACGAAATAAACAGTGTCCAAAACATAATTTTAAAATAACTCCCATGCATGACTTGTTACGGACACAAACCTACCAGATACCTACACGGAAAATGGCGTGACAAAGAAATATTCCGAGCAAATTGCCCGGGCATTAAAGCAACACGGGTAATGTTGGTCATTTTTACGTATAAGGGATAGGCCAAGTTTAACGAGAGATGCCCGGCAAGGAAGAGTTGGTCCAGAGTTCGAAAAAGGAACCGTAATATCAAAACTTGTTAAGCACACGTAGCGGCTGATTATACATCTGTAATTTGTGGATTTCGCTTCAAAATCCGTCAATGATTGGCTGACGGTGTTGAAAATTTGTAAATATTTTCAATATTTTAGGCCCGAATGGAGAAGCTAGAGAGGCGAAGCTGCTATGAAACAAGCCGAGCAGACCGGCGAGGTCAGTAGACTGCCCGGTGTAGCCGGCGCCAGCACGAGTGCCCTGAGGGCGCTTGTGTCTGCCTCTACACGCCAGTGATGTGTCTGCCTCTACACGCCAGTGATGTGTCTGCCTCTACACGC